ACGAACAGTCACGAGCGAATCAGGAGGTAGGGGTATCCTGCAGAAAAGTGCATATTCAAGGTGGTTCTAACTGTTCTCACCGGTCTGAGGCCCCCAAGGTGCCCCCATTATAGGGACCCAATTCCTCTCGTCGTAAGTCGATGGAAAGTTCCAACGCACTGTCGGACTCGAGTTCATGGTTATCACCTTGAGTGATGTTTTCCGACAACGGTCTACGGGCACCTATAGACCCATTCGACAACCGGCCGTACTAACATCCACTCCCTATGGCTTTCCACTCATGCCCCCGGGTATAGAGGGAACTGTTGTGTGCAAAGGTTTGTGTGCAGTTTTTATTTCAAACAATTGCGAGAATTTAAACATACAACAATTATTAAAGCCAAATAGATAAACATGTTATCATACAAGTGAGGGGTAATGAAGTAATTTTAAACTATTATTTTAAAAATAATCCATCACTAAATGGGACTGACTCTCGAGGCTTCCCCAGTGGAGTCGCCATCTGTCGCCACCCGCCGAAACGGACCTTGGCAATCGCGACGATGGTTGGACTCTTTTTAAAGTTTTGAAAAGTGGTGGATTGATAGAACGACTTATTCTCAAACTGAGACCTTGTCGAGCTACCAATTTTATTAAATGATTCACCAATCCATATTAATCCCAAGCGGGACCCTCTATGGATTAGTGGTTTTCGCAAAAATTAGGGTTCTTGGAGTCGCCACCAATATTTTACTCAAAACATTGGAAAAAGATTTAAGGCAATTGATTTTATAAATCAACTTTGGCCATTACAACCAGAGTTGGGTAAGGGAGTCGGTTACGTGTGGGGAAGGTGTTAGCACCCCCACAGCGCCCCATTAGGGTTCCCTATGACGGATTATTTATTAAATAATAGCGCAAAATTACTAAATTACCCCTATTTATTATAAGCGATTGTAAATTAAATATCTACATGATGATAAATTTAAATATGCAACAATCAGAAAGCGGTAAAAGAAGGGATTTTTAGAAAAGAAACCTCTTGAAGCGTGCTTTTTATATATCAATGAAGTCTAGGAGGCTTTTTGGCACTCCCTCCCTCTACAAGCTCGCTCGCTCCTTCCTAAAAATAATTTTTGACTATGGAAATCCAAAAGATTTCCCTTCGACTAAGTTCGAATCTCCAAGCTAAATGCTCGGAATTCCAGAACTTCGTCGGATCGACTCCCAGAGAGATTTCTAGGGCAGAACACTGCTCAAAAACCCCAGAATACTCAAGGAGGGAGTCAAAACTGTGTGGAAAAGTGTGTAATGACGTCCAAATGACGTCCTATATATAGGGATGAGGCGCAGTACGGCCCCTAGGATCAATACGGCCCGTATTGAGTTTTTGTACTTCAATACGGCCGTATTGAATTCAGTACGGCCTATTGAAGTTCAACAACTTCAATACGCCTGTATTGGTTTCAGTTCGGCCGTATTGTAGTACAAAATATGCAGTACGGCCGTACTAAACTCCAAGGAGGCCGTATTGAGCTCCAAACCTCCCACTTTCTTATTTTTGGCTACTCTAAGACCTCTAAACCTACAGATAGTCATCCTATGGTCTTCTAGGAGTCCTTCTGGCTGACTTTCCTTCGATCTTTGAGAGTCTTCGAGTCTTATTTCCGACCTGGACAATTTTAGGGGTCTACACTCATCTGGGTTCGTTGTGCCATCATAGCGATCGAGGTGGAGAGGTTTCCACCCATGAGGGAGTGGTGTCTCCATGATGCCATCTACAAAAGGGTGGCGGCGGAAGGTTGCCTGATCCCCTGCTTCATGAGTAGGGGCCTTGCTGGCTTCATGGGTCGACTTGTGCGTCGGTGCATGAGACCGATGCGTGGCAGGTCGTTGAGTTGGTGCCCTAGTCGCGGTCCGGGGTTGAGAGACTGAGTGCTCCTCTTCCTCGTTGTGGTTGCTCATATGAGGAGGATGATCAGAGGGGCACCGAGGGAGTTGAGCGTGAATACGCTTGTTCTCGGCGCGTAGTGCCGCCAGGTCGGCTTCATTAGCGGTACGCATTGCCGCTAGATAAGTGTCGTGCTTGGCACGCATGCTTTGTAGATCGGGGGCGTGCTGTTGCCGCATTTGTGCGACTTGGTCGATCAGTCTTCTCAATGCTGCTTCGTTATCCATGGTAGATGGATGATCTACGTCATCTGTTACGCGTCTGCTATGGTTTCTAGTGCAAACCATAAGCGTGGCCGATGAGAGCTGTCTTGATCGGCCCCACGATGGGCGCCAAAAGTTCTTACCGGAGATCTGCTGTAGAGATGATCCGCCAGGTAAGATCGGTGAGCCTCCTTCACTAGTGCGTTGGTGCTCCAAGACGGGGGTGGTACTTGTAAAGAGACTCCGATGCTAAAGTTAGGGTTTGTATGAGTATGAATCTCCTATAAGTAATGCATGTACCTTAGTGTAAATTAGGGTTGCGTTGGGCCTTGGGCCTGAGATAGGATATGATCTATTTAAGTGTCGAGCTGACGTCGCGCAACACTTGCCCGAGGTCAGCTCGTGCTGTGGTACCGAGGTTGGAACCCGACTTCACAGTACGGATACTACAATATTGTTCTAGAAAGAAATGTGTGCAAATTATGGATTATGGAACCCTAAATCCTCATTGTTCTCTACACGAAGGTTGAATCTCTGATAGATGATTTGTTTCGCTTGGCTACAACATTGTGGTGAAGCCAAGGAATTCGGTTCTGGTTAGGGTTTGATCAGGTTTAAGGTTTGGCTGACTCTCATCTCCTCTCTCTGCCTATTTAGTTGTATTTTAGGATCTGTATAACCTTTGATTGTATGAATGTGTATAGATAATTGTTTGTGACTTTGTGTGACTGTACATTTTGAGTCAAATTTATTGCATTGAAATGGGTATGTGTTGACTACGAAGGATAAGTGGTGTTTGGTTTACCATTTTGGATAGCATTCTTAAGCCATATAATGATGTAACAGAGTATGATTTACAATTATTTTGTATTTAGTCACAGGTGACTAAGAATCCCAATATAGTTGGTGGATGCAGTTGTAAAGTTTCCTTCATGGTGAAACAATAATCAGTTATGTTGCTAGCCACTTCTATATGACAATTATGCATTAGTTTAACTATAACATCCCGAATTTTTACTAATATAATAGTTAATTATTATTTATTTTTATTTATGAAGATTATTTTCTTATATTTATTTTAATTAAGTAAATGGGTTTTATTTTATATTTTGAATTTTAGTATCCCAAAACGGGCTGTTTCTAAACTGGAACGGACCGTTCCAAACTACTAAAATGGCCTATAAACCATAGATTGGAACGGGTCATTCCAACACAGGCTGTTATAAGCAAAATTCAAACCTAGAAAGGGCCATTCCACTTTGGGAACGGGCCATTCCAAACATGATTGTTGTGAGTTAAAACTCATTTCCAAAACGGGCCGTTCTGGTTTAAGAACGGGTCATTCTAAATGTGAATTTTAAACATGACAAATGAGTCCAGAATAGGGCGTTCTAGATTCGAAATGAGCCATTCTGGCCACTTCTAACATCTATAAATAGCATGCTCTAACACTCCCAAAAACATATTTTTCACTTCTGACTTCTTTTTCTTCTACATTCTCTAAAGACCAAGGGGAACCCATAGGAGGAGACTAGCAAGATCCTACTTTAGTTTTAGCTCCTACTTATTGAGATAAGGGGGAGTGAGAAACCTCGCTCTGGATGTGGGAATGTATGTTGGGTAGTGGGATTGACCCCTAATCTTATGTTTATTGTGTGCTCATGTATGAGGGATTTTTTCCCAATTGTATCTTTTTCATCCCTGTTTCTCCCTAAATGTTCTAATTGATGTAATTAGTATGTATATATGAGTAGTGTTTGTGTTTGGATTATAATTGTAGACTTTGGTGTTCCTATGGGAAACCCTAAGGGAATGTATTGGTGATTGTAAGAGAAGATTGTTAGAAGAGGCAATTATATAAGTAAATTATATTGTTTTAAATGTTTATTGTATGGATTAGAGTGCTCTGTGGGTTCTTGAGAGAACCCTATGAGAAATAGGCAAAATATGAATATTTTCTGTTTTGATTTCTGATTGTTCTATTGTATTCCTTATTTGATAAGATGTACGAATATGTGTTTAATTTCGCATATAGACGAGTTTTGATATGAATTAAAGTGTTTTGTGAAGACTATGTGAATATAATGAGATAATGTGAAATGTGAACATGAAACATGAGATATGAGGATATGTGATAATGCTATATGACAATGAGACAGGATAATGTTATAAGATAATGTGATATGAGAATGCATAGAGTCTTGATTGACATGCATCACTACAACATTTGTTGTCTATGAAAACAAAAAAAAATCGTTGTTGAAGGCTAAAAAACCGTTCCTGAAAGTTTAGGGAACGGTTTGGCAACGGTTTGTCAAGCGTGGATTTATCAACCATTGCCTATTCTAATAAGCAACGGTTTTTTGGCCTATGCCCACAATGTCAAAAAAACCGTTACCTAAACTTCCTGAAACGGTTTTCGTGGTCTTCATTAGCAACGTTTTTTTTTTATTTAAGGCAACACTATAAATTTTTAAAGAACGGTTTTAGAAATGTAGGCTTTTTTTATAGGCAACACTTTTATGACCATTGCTAGTGACATTAGGAAATTTTTTTTTAAGGTTGTCTATGAGATAATATAGACAACAACTTAGACTAAATTTAAGTTACAATTTTGTAAATGTTGTCTAAATAAACGTGCAACGGTTATTTTTATATTGACTTATAATATTGGTAATAACACACCATTATTTAAGCAATAATCTTCACCATATACTATTTTTAAATGGTTATGAATGTAATATATATATATATATATATATATATATATATATATCATGTGAAATCATACATATATATATATAATAAATAATTGATTTCATCCTCAAAAAATAATAAAATAAATTATAAAATGAAATCCAAACACATGTAAAATTGACTTGCATTAATTAGTTCCAAGTATATGACAATTCAAAAGCATAAAACTCCAAATAAAATCATCCAAAGATGTCAAAGTTTATATAAAACTTCTAAATTTCAAAATAAAGTGTCATCTAGGAATATTATACATAGCTAGTCATCCATCCATGTAAAAAAACATCATTCAGTCTCTTCATCATCATACGGTTGATCTTCATTATCAAGTCTTCCCAAACATCGAACTCTACCGGGTTTTTCTTTGCCAAAGATTGATTGAAAAGCTTGTTCAGCAGATTCACTACTTGAGAAACATCATCTCCATTCTTCTTTTCTTGCTACATAAATTAGAGATTGAATAATAAGAAATGCACAAGAGGTACAAGAATTTATTGTTTTGCACATATAAACATAAATATAATACTAATTTTGCACGAATCCTTGAAAAGTTTGTAGGACCCATGCATTCAATGTATTTCTGCTTTGCCCTATTGATAGCATTTTTCTGGCTTTGCCCATGAAGTCAATCCTTGCTGTAACAGAGTACACATCCTCTTTTAGACACCAAAGAGTAACTACTGCGTAAATTGAGCTCTAGGTCTCCAAATAGCATGGGTTAATTTTGTTAGAAAGCTAAGACACTAAGATTTTCATAATTAAAATTTGAGAATTTTATAGTTTGACATGCAGTACCAGTTTTTATTTTAAAACAAGTCAATCCATGCTGTAACAGAGTACACATCCTCTTTAAGACACCAAAGAGTAACTACTGCATAACTTGAGCTCTAGGTCTCCAAATAGCATGGGGTTAATTTTGTTAGAAAGCTAAGAAAATAAGATTTTAATAATTAAAATTTTAGAATTTTATAGTTTGACATGCAGTACCAGTTTTTATTTTAAAATAAGTCAATCCTTGTTGTAACAGAATACACATCCTCATTTAATGAGTTCTGTATAATTTATTTATTTAACATTTACTGTGAAATTCAAAAAACTATTTTGTAGAATTGGAATCAAAATTACTATATTATTATTATATAGACCAGAAGTTAGAGATGAGAGGAAAGGATATACCAATTTGGTAGGCCAAAGGATCGTACCATCTTACCAACCCAACGATCCTACAAAAATGACTTTGTCAGCAGAAGTTACCAGTGCTTCTCCTGTTTTAGCAAACCTAGTAAGAAAAGTCCAATTAAGGCTATAAGAACAGATGTAACTATGAAACCAAAGGGAAGAAGGATGGGTGCAAAATAAGGCTATACCCTGTCATAACCTCAACAAGGTCTTCTGGAGCTCCTATGGCAGCAAGAGCTGATTGGATTATACGGAAGTAAAAGCACCTACAACAACTTGCATTTTCTGAAATCTACATTTAGAATCACATTTCTGTCAAATTGCAAACATAAATTTATAGTAAATAGTAAGAGCAGTATTAACCCTTGCAGCGTCTCAGTTTGGATACAAGTTTGTCAATGAATGTTAATATACCATGAGAGATATCAGTCAACAATGTCTATTCTTTAAAAAATGTGGTGCATTCATGGAATGAACAATTCTAGATAGGCAGATAGCAGATATATGTCATTTTATACCTTAATCACAATGCCATTTCCAGAAAAAACTGCTGCCAACATAGGGTTAAAAATATTGTGGAAAGGATAGTTCCATCACACAATGGCACCGATAACACCCAGAGGGTGAAATTCTACTCTGGCTCTTTTATGAAGCATTGCTCTTCCACCCTCTGATAGTAGCCAATTTATCTTCTCACATGTTGTCATTATTTCACCTAAAGAGGCATCTACCATTGTCTTTCCAGTATCACGTGAAGATATTCTGGTAAAAAGCACATGGATTAGAATATACTCAAGAAAGTTACAATATTCTTATGCAAAATGTATAATTCATACATATTTTAGACTGATGAATGAAACAATATGATAACTAAAAACAAAAAAGATGCTTGTATGCTTCCCAGAATATATGATTTATTTGAAAACCTTCATACACTCAGCCTTGAACTCCAGCAGGAACTCCCTCTCCACATTGGCAACAACCACGAGAGCCTCCGTCGTGGCCTTTCGCGTTGACCAATCGGGACTGCTCAGCAACACCACCAAGCAGGGATCTGGAGCTCCGTCAATCGTGCCGGCGAGACACAGCGCCGTGCCGGCCTGCGCGTTCTGGTCCTGCTCCGTGAACAACGCCTCTGCCAACGGCTTCACGAACGAACCTAACGACTGCTAGTTGACGTGGCGCGACAATGCCGTGATGGAACTCACGCACGCGGATCGCACCGATGAGTCCGTGTCTCAGAGCCGCCGCACGACACAATCGGTCTTGAAGCCCTCGCGGTGGAGGACGGCGATGTCAGTGGTGGTGGTATCGGGGGCGAGGCCAGAGGAGAGTATGAGATTTAGGGTTTGGTGGATGGGGAGAGGGATTGGGAGTGGGAGTGGGAGGAGGCGGCTGGGGTTACGTCACGAGTGAAAGGGTAGCGAGCCAAACAAAATGTTAATATTGAAAAGAGAATACTGCACGCTTTTATCAAGTGTTGTCTATATGTGTTTTTGGGAGCAGGGCAGGGATAGGCTGGGAGATAGCTACAAGAGGCCACAGGAGGTTCCTGGAGATAGATAGATTTTTTTGTAGCTAGTATACTTTGTTGTATATAATTGATTGATGTTGGTTGCTTGATTAGCAACTTGTGTTGTAAATATTTTATAATACTATTTTAGTATATATATTCCAGTAATGTGTGGGTGTTGTTTTGTAGTGTGACGGCCACGATGGGTCGTTACACTCTTCCTCTAAAGACACCAACTCATCATACATTAGATTCCAATAGTCTTCGATAGGCATATCATTTTGTCTTTCTATGTGAATTGACTGTAAATTAGTATCTATAGGAAGAATGGCTTCATGCCCATATACCAATTTGTATGGTGTAGTTCTTGTGGCATCTCTTGGCAAATTTCTATAAGCCCACAACACTTGGACAAGTGTTTCATGCCAATTTCGAGGCTTGCTCGAGATATATTTCTTAATCAAACTAATAATTAGTTTATTAGCGGCTTCTACTTGTCCATTTGCTTATGTATAATATGGTGTCGAAGTTACTAACTTAATTCCTTTCGATTGAGCGTATTGAGTAACTTTTCGACCTGTAAAAATTGTGCATTGATCAGTAGTAATTGTTTGGGGAATTTGAAACCTTGTTATGATATGATCTTCAACAAAATTAATTATGTCTTTTTGATCGACTTCTTTCAAATGAATTGCTTCAACCCATTTTGTAAAATAATCTATGGCAACTAATATATACTTGTGATTCTTCGAGGAGGGTGGATGAATTTGGCCTATTATGTCAATTTCGCAACCTCTAAATGGCCAAGGTTTAATAATCGAATGTAATGCACTTGCTGGTACCTTTTGTATTGGTCCATATTTTTGAGATTCCTCACAGCTTCTCGCGAATTCGATACAATCCTTAATCATAGTTGGCCAATAGTACCCTTTTCTCGACAAGGTCTATTTCATTTTTTCACCTGCTTGATGTGCTCCACAAATACCTTCATGTACTTCTGTCATAGCTATATAACTTTCATGATTCCCGAGGCATTTGAATAGAATCCCATCAAAACCCCTTTTGTATAATTCATTATTTAGCATGACATAATTAAGGGCTTGGAATTTGATCTTTCTTTCGACTTTCAAATTTGGATTTTGAAGGTACTCGATTAATTCTTTCCTCTAGTCTTGATAGCTTAATGTACTGACACTTAGACTCTCTAGATTACATATTAGTTCACTCTCTATATGAATCAAGGATTCGAAACATCCCTTACTCATTTTATACCCTAATGCGATTTGAGCCAGTTCATTCACAATGGTGTTTGCATTTCGAGAAATGTGTTCTCACTACAAGAAAATGACGATTTTGCGACGGTTATATGGCCTACATTGCGATGGTTAGAACTGCCGCAAAGACAACATTGCGACGGTTTGGGAACCATCCCAGAATTGTCCGTCACAAGGAAATTTTGCGACGGTTATCAGAATCATTGTACAAACCGTCGCAAAATTGGAATTGCGACCCCTGAAGCACCTGACGCACTAATTGCCTCTATATTAACATTGCGACCCTTTCATCAACTGTCGCACCAACTGCCTCTAAATTAATATTACGACCCTTTTTTTACCCGTCATATTTTTTTAAATTTTAATAAATTTATTAATGTAACAATCCTCATATTTGGCCTCTCAAGGGTTCTATTTCACGATATTTCACTGTTTAGCGTGTTTTATCCTTACTTGTGCAATTTCTGGGAAACTTCCCAAAAGGTCACCCATCCATGTACTACTCTAGGTCAAGCACGCTTAACTACGAAATTCTGATGAGTAAGCTACCGAAATGTATATGTATGTTGTAGTATAACTTATACAAATTAATTCATTTAAGTCATCCTCAAATATACAATATCATATTTGTACTATAATAATTTTATATTACGAAGAATAATAATAATATATTTAGTTATTCTTTATTTATATGTACTGTGATGATTCGACCTGATTCGGAAGGAAATTTCATGGCTAAGTGCGGAGTTGACACGATCGCACCCAGTCTGTTGAGGGAAGGCCTGTCGAGAAGGATGTTATACGACGTGTTGGCGTGCACAACTACGTACTTGAATTGAATGTCTCGAGCTTCGGCTCCATCGAAGGAGAAACGGGTGGATAACTTGATGTACCGTCTCGTCTATACGCGTTCGCCCGAAAATCCGACCAGGGGTTCATTATACGGAATTAGTTCGGCCTCCGGGATGCCGAGCTGTTTGAATGTGTTCCAATACAGTATATCGGTCGAACTGCCCTGGTCGACCAACGTTTTTTGAACGATGCAGTTGTGAATTTCGACACTGATGACCATTGGATCGTCTTGGTCTGGATCAATGCCTTTGAAGTCTGCTTCGGTGAACGTTATGGTCGGCATCCTGCGTTGAGTACGTTCCACTGCGTGTACAGCTCGGACAGCTCGCAGGTGCCTCTTTTGTGCCGATGAGGAAGCGCCTCCGCCGGCATTAAACCTTATGATGTATTCGTATTCTGTCGAAATAATATGATTAAATATATGTTATCTAAACCTATCCTGCACTCTCGAGTTGAGAAATGGGCTCTGGCATTGACCGAGTATTCGTTAACGTTTGTTCCCCTCAAAGCCACAAAAGGACAAGTAATTGCTGATTTTCTCGTGGATCACTCGAATGTAACTGAACAGGTTAATTATTTAACCACGAAATCATGGGAACTATATTTTGATGGATCGAAACACGAGTTAAGAGCAGGAATCAGATTACTGATTATTTCCCCGGGTGGGATCCCCACCAAATTCTCATTGAGAACGAAATCCGAATGCTCAAATAATGAAACTGAATACGAAGCAGTGATTACTGGGCTAAAATTGCTTAAGGACTTGGGGGCAAGGAACATAATCATTCGAGGTGACTCGCAACTCGTGATTAAACAGTTAACTCGAGAATATAAATGTATGAATGAAAAGTTACTCGAATGCAAATCTAGAGCTACAGCTTTGTTAAATTCATTCGATGAGGTCCAATTAGAACATATCTCTCGTAACGAGAACGAAATTGCGAATGAACTAACTCAGATTGCATCTGGGTACAAGCTAAGCAGGGAATGTCTCGAATCTCTTGTTTGTATAAGGAATGAGTTGAGTGACGAGCACGAATGCCTCACCATAGACACCTCAACCATTCAGGACTAGAGGAAAGAGTTAATTGAGTATCTGCAAAGTCCAAATTCGCAAGCTGAAAGAAAAGTTAAATATCGAGCTCTCAATTATGTGATATTGAATGATGAACTATTCAAGAGAGGCTTCAATGGAGTTCTGTTTAAGTGCCTAGGAAATCATGAGAGCTACATAGCCATGGCAGAGGTGCATGAAGGGATTTGTGGTGCTCATCAAGCGGGGGAGAAAATGAAATGGACTCTGTCTAGAAAAGGATACTTTTGGCCAAGTATGTTCAAAGATTGTATCGAATTCGCAAAAGGTTGCGAAGAGTGCCAGAAACATGGCCCAATACATCGAGTGCTAGCAACAGAGTTGCACGCGATTGTTAAACCTTGGCTTTTCGAGGTTGGGCAATTGACGTAATTGGCCAAATCCATCCTCCGTCAGCAAAAAACCATAAGAACATAATCGTGGCCATCGATTATTTTACGAAATGGGTAGAAGCAATTCCTGTAAAAGAGGTTGATCAGACAAAGGTGATAAATTTTATTGAAGACCATATTATATTTCGATTTGGAACCCCAGACAATAACTACAGATCAAGAAACGTTATTTACAGGTCGAAAAGTGATGCAATATGCCCAGTCGAGAGGAATTAAAATGATTACTTCGACACCCTACTATGCACAAGCTAATTTCATTTTCTCCCCCGCTTGATGAGCACCACAAATCCCTTCATGCACCTCTGCCATGGCTATGTAGCTCTCATGATTTCCTAGGCACTTAAACAGAACTCCATTGAAGCCTCTCTTGAATAGTTCATCATTCAATATCACATAATTGAGAGCTCGATATTTAACTTTTCTTTCAGCTTGCGAATTTGGACTTTGCGTAATTTATATTCTAGTCACAATTTGGAAATTATATAAAGAAAAAAAATCGTGTACCCCATGTTAAAGGAAGTATATATAAAATTGTTAATAAAAAATAAGTTCATTAAGAAAATATACATAATACTTCAAAAAGAAAAAAACATTTAAATTCTAATAAAAACAAATTGTCTTGTAGATTGCGACAGTTTATAGTAAATTGTCGCAATGTTGAAAAGTTTGCGACGGTTTATGACGAACTATCGCAATGTTAAAAAAAAATTGTGACGGTTTATGATTAATTGTCACAATGTTAAACAAATTTTGCGACAGTTTACGATAAACCGTCGCAATGTTGAACAATTTTGCGACGGTTTTGAAAAACTGTCATATGAAGGGTCGCAATATCGTTGCAATGCTGAAAAGTTTGCGACGATTTATGATTAACTGTCGCAATGTTAAAAAAAATTTGCGAAGGTTTATCATTAACTATCGCAATGTTAAATAAATTTTGCGACGGTTTACGATAAACCATCGCAATGTTGAACAATTTTGCGACGATTTTGAAAAACTGTCGTATGAAGGGTCGCAATATCATCGCAATGCTGAAAAGTTTGTGACGGTTTATGACTAACTGTGGCAATGTTAAAAAAAATTTGCGACGATTTATGATTAACTGTCGCAATGTTAAACAAATTTTGCGACGATTTACGATCAACCGTCGCAATGTTGAACAATTTTGCGACAATTTTGAAAAACTGTCGTATGAAGGGTCGCAATATCAAAGCGACGACAGTTTCTAGATAACTGTCGCAATTTATCATTTTCCTTGTAGTGTCTAACTCGACCTCATCAAATGTGCTTAGTAATTTAATGGCTCGAGTC